GATGTTATAGTTATATATAGCTGTGTTGTGTAATGTGTTGTAGTTGTAGCCGTAGGCATAATGTGTTGTCACGGAATCTGCAAGACTGGGCACTCGAGGACGTCATTCCTTATGCAGTTGCTAGTGCCGTAAAACCTCTACTAAAACTATAAAAAGGGGACGTCATTCCGGTTCACAATGGCGCGCTTATCGTCGATACTTATAACAATGACCTTATTGTGTTGCAAGTACCGTAAAACACTCACTGAAGCAAAAACATCATTTGAGTCGATAATTTGAAACCCAAACGAAGCGCACGAGACAGTGACAAGTTTTGTGCGCACTCGACATAAAAATATTATGTATATTACACATTGTTATGTTTTTTCTCTCTTCGTTCATGGTGCGCACCAGTGCAGCGAAGCTTTTACAATACAAAGCAAAAAGAAAGTGTGTCGGCCATGACAGTGCCCGGTCTAGTAGATTGTTATAATTCATCAAGTCTATGGTTGTGGCTAGATCTCACCCGACCTCATTAGTTTCTAGTCTAGTCGTCGTCACTTGTTTATAGTTGCTAGTTTTTTGTTTTAATATTATTGTTGTTTTTGTTGTTGGTTTTTTTCTCCCTCCCCCTTGTTTCTTCACCCAATTTTCGTATGTTGTTTGTTTGTTTGCTTTTACTAATGAGTTTTGCGTTGTTTCAAGCTCCTCTAGGTTTCCACCAGTGTAACCGTCTGGAGACTCCGGCTGTGCTCACCCTGTGTAAAGTTTTCTCTAACTTTTTTTTTCTGTAACCGCTAATGACCTGTCATTCCAGCCCGTTTTTTTATTATTTTTTTTTAAAATTGTTGTTTCATTCATTGACTCATGTGAATGTTAATGCCTCTATACGTGTACACCCATCACTGAGATAGATTTGTAGTGGTACTACAGAAGACTGTCTTAAAAAGCTGTCATGTACTACAGAAAGCTGTCTTAACCCTATCCGTACGTCGTGTTTTACTATCGTATCCATACGACGTGGGGAACTCTGTGCCACCACTTTCCAAAGAGGAAATTTACTCGTTAATCCGATACGTACGCTTTGAGAAATACTGAAAGTTTCAAAGAGATCTTCGTGCTAGAATAGAAGTATTCTGAAAGGTGAAGAATGCAACCCCGGGGGGTACAAAATGACCCCAGGGCGTA